TGGGGAAGACGGGTGTAACGCAGTTTTTGGCCCCTGTGAGTAAATGAGAAGAAATCTCTGCTTTCCTCTGCCAGGGGAATACAGAAAAATGCATTAGCCAAATCCATAACAGTAAAATACTGGAGGTCTGGTGACAGTGATGACAGCATTGTATAAGGGTTTGGGACCGGGAGACACTGAGTTAATGTTAAATCATTTATTTTTCTCAAATCATGGACCATTCTATATTTATTCTGACCTGTTTTTGGCACAGCTAGAGTGGGCGTGTTCCACTCTGATTTTGATGGCTCGAGGACTCCCACTTTTGTAAGTCCCTCTATCACCTGTGAGATACCCTCGACAGCGTCTGGTTTGGCGGCATACTGCTTTATGCGAATCGGGCCTCCTGGCTTCATCTGTAAAGACACAGGAGGGAAAGAGGTGCACAACCCCACGTCCGTGGGACCTTGGGACCAAACTTCTGCAGGCACCTGTTTCAATATTTCATGAGTATCATCATGATCTGTCATGTGTCTACCATGATGTCTGGTCAATGTTTCGTGCTCCACTTCCCCTGTGTCTATCATATTTGCTTTTATCCTGTATGACTTATTTTCAATGCTGTACTCTACATGAGGGAGTTGGGTGTCAGACCAATCGTCAGCTTTTACCAGTCTCTTTACCATTGGACCTAAAGCTCTAGCCTCGTGACCAGGGTGTACAGCCAAGGTGATGTGTGGGACAGCAGAGGAAGACATGTAATACCACTCACACTGTTCAGGAAGCAGCCGTGTATGGGCCGCCACACCCTCAGGCCCAATATAAATGTAATCTGATTCTAATGTCCACCTATCACTTTCAATTTGTTTGAATTGTTCTCTGTACATTAAGTCTTGGTCTCTGTCATAGAATAATGTCAAGTGGGCAGGGTCCAGTGGGAGGTGGTAGGAGGCCAAAGAATTTATCCAGGGTTTCCACTTGAAGAAGACGGAATGCACACCATTATTGTCCGTGGACTTGTTTTCTGGGTCCAGTCTCACCCAGTATATGTCTGCATACTGGTCTGGCATCTCTTCTCTCAGAAGCCAGCAGGAGTCCATCGATACACCGGTCACACATCTGTAAATTTGTCCCCCTGGAAAAGTCACTTGTAGACCATCCGGTCCACATAGAATTGACGCATTGGTTTTAGTCAATAAGTCTCTTCCCAGCAGGTTGACAGGTGTTTTAGGAGCATTTACAAAAGAATGCCACAGTGTCTGTGTTCCAATTTGTGTCTTTAAACGTTTAGTGAGTGGCAGTACCTCAGGTGTCCCAGAAAATCCAACCAGGGTGATGTGCTCCTCAGAGAGCAGGACAGGGCGTATCTTTGTATTGATGGTAGAGTAGGTGGCGCCAGTGTCCACCAGGGCCATCAGGTTGTCGTCCTCCACCCTTATGGGGAGCATAGGCTCTGCTGGTACCTTGTCCCCTGGATTTCCTAGGCAGCCCTAGTAAGATTGTTCATGTTCATACTCGCCCCAGTAGTTCCCATGCTGGAAATATTGTCCATCTCTCGGGGCCAGGTTGTCATTCGGAGCCGTCCATGGGGAGGGAGGGCCTGCGCGCTCTGGTCTGGGTCCCATGCCTCTCTGGGGGCCCCTCCCACGCACCATCTCAGGCGCTCCATGGTAGTAGGAGGCCTCTCCTTCAAAGGGGCAGTCCCTCGCCCAGTGACCGTGCCTGTAACAGAGGTGACACACATCCCTGCCCCCTTTCCAGCTTCCACCCCTTCTTCCTCCCCGGCCCCCACGCCCACCACCTCTGGCCCCTCCCCTTGTCCAGTCCTGTCGTGGTGGAGTGGGAAGTCCAGCAGGCATATTAGTCATCTGATTACTGGTTCCTTTTTTATTCTGGGTGGCTTTATTTCTCGCTTCACTAAGCTGTAACTTCAAAAGTTGACAAGTCATATCTTCAACACTCTTTCTTTCTTTAGTTTTATTTTCAACATATCGCTTAATGTGAAAGATTAAATTTGTTTTCCACTGTGCTGAATCCGGGTTAATATTATCTGGGTTGTCTTCAATCTTTGAGCGTATTGTTTCTGGTAAACCATTCAAAATAGCTGCTCTAAAAGGCATGACTTCACTGACCTTGTGAGGGTGTCTTCCTACTGTGTCCATCCACTTGGTCACACTCCTGTCATAAAATACAATTGGGTCCTCAGACTCCAGCCAAGTTAACTCACGAGGGGCAGAAGACAGCGGAGTTGGAAAGTTTTCCCTCAGTGCTTCATACCAGGCATTTGCATACTGGCCAAATCTGGAAGAATCACAAACATCATCAGTACCAGCTTGTCTTTCAATAGCATCTCTCTCCCATGGTTTACTGCATGCTGCCATCACTGCCCGGACGTCACCCATCGCGACATCATGACCTGTAAACCATGTGTTCAGACTGGAAATCCAGTTTCCAGCTCCCTGACACAATGGAGGCATTTTGTCTTTTATAGTCTGCATGTCACTTACAGAAAAAGGATGGTACTCCCCAGCTGCGCCTCGTCCTGGTCTCAGAGGGAACATGGATTTTGTCTGAGACCTGGTTCTGCTTGCCACCGGTCTAGTTTCTCCAGGCTCCTGGTCTCCGTCATCACTACTGTCAGAAGAGAATTTAGCTCCTTTTCTAGCCTGTTTAGCTTTAAGTATTGGCTGGGCCATGGCACCGTCTCCCTTTTCATTTTCACTGTCCGTCCTAGTCATGGCTCTGCGTGCGGCTTTATTAATTAATTTTGCATTCTCCTGTCTAGCGGTCTCGTAATCATGGGTCCTACTTGGGGTTTCTTCTCCCTCAACTCTGTCTGTGGTGCATTCAGAGGTCGGTTTCCTAGCTCTAATATTTCTGAGAGAGTGCAGGAGCAGCTCCTGCACCTCTTGGATGGGTGGGGGTTGGTGAGGGGTGTGTGGGAGCTGTGGCGGGCTGCTGACAGCTGGATTTTGACTCGGATCTCTATTGTCCCCCACAGACTCCTGTTCTGTCCCTTCGTCAAATTCACTGTCTACAAAGTCATTGTCCCCTCTCTTTCCTACCGCCACTTCTCCTGAAAATGTATATTGTGGCAATATTAGATTTGGCTTACCTGGTTCTAAACCTAGAGAATATTTTGGTGGAGCCGTGGGTAGGGATGGGTATATATTACTCACCGGCATTGCTCCGTTTTCTGTTTCCTTGTCTTTACTTACCATCGGTAATTTTGCCAACGCCGTGGCAGCCAAAGCAAAATTATGTACCTTGGTCCTCAGTTTCTCAGCCTTTTTTAGTTCCTTCTTAATTTTTCTACGCTCATTCCAACTCTCTCCCTGCTTTCCCTCAAGCTCAAGTTTATGCTGTTTTAAATTATTTTCCTCTTCCCGCAATATCTTAGCCAATGCGGACGCTGTCATATACTCAGGTATGACCCTTTTGTTCTGTATTTTTTCCCATGCTTTCACAGCCTTTCGTTTTGCCTTGTTCCTATATTTTTTATCCAGACCACTCAGAATCTGAGCCTCTATTTCTCTATATAGCTGCTCGATTGGAATGCCTGTCTCCATTTTTCGGGGGGGCCCAAAATTCCCCCAGGTTCCAATGGTGAAAACCTAACTTGTGTGTTGACGCGTCCGTCAACCACGCTAGTCACAGCGGGCTTTCCTGTTTCTGGCAAGGCTTCTCAAAAAATCTTTACTTTTAATATATTCTCGCAGGGTTCTAGCTACTTAGACTCCTATTTTATTTAATTTTAACGTATTTTCGCAAGGCTCTCACTACTTTTTAGGCTTTTACTATTTTTACTTTTTGAATTAGCTCCTCCGTGGACAAAACTTCTCTCCCCTTAATTTGTGTAGTCCAATATGCAGATTTTTAATTAGTCAAAAGGTATCTGCTTACCTTCAGTTCAGCGGCCGCTTTGAGGAGAGACGCAGAGTCCAAGGGAAGGCGAAAAGTCATCAAAGGGATCACGTCGAGGGTCACCAATTATTATATTAAAAAAATGACGTGTTCAAAATCCCTTATAAAGATGACCATGATTCAGAAAGTTAAATTCAAAAAGGTTTATTTCCCTAATACAAAAAGAATCTAAAACAGCTGTCCGGACCAAAAAGTATCTAATCCCTATCCTCTATATAAGGTGTAACATTGGTTGGGCGCTCCACCAAGTCACACAGCTAAACCCTGATCCGGACTGAAAAACTAACACACACATTCAAGCTATTCATTAAGTAAATGTGCAAGGGGAAGAAGGGGCGTGTCGTATCAGTCAGCTCTTGGTCCAGGGTCCGGCCTCCATCAGGTCTTCTCCGTCTCGCCAGACCTAAACAGAAATCATTCACGCACTACCCCTCCCTAATTCTATAGATTTATTAGTTCCTTTGAGATAAGGCAGAGGGATCTCAAGGCTTCTCCTCCAGATTCTGGACTCCATCTCCTTCTTTCACAACTTGAAAGGATTAGCAGAATCCCCCCAGATTAACTATCATTAACTCACCCATGCACTTTGGACAAAATGGGACAAGGGGAGTAGGGCAATACAAGGTCTTTCTTTTTGCTTGGAGACAGACAGAGTTCAATTTCAGGTCAATCTAATTCACATCGCCTTTTAGCCTATATTTAATACAACAGTACACAGAGGAGTTATAGCCAATTTTCTAACTTAAATAAACAAAAAGTTAACTTCGGTTGGAAATTATTCAGTTCAATTTCAAAGTTGTCGATTCGCCAACAAGAGATCAGAGAATACAGGAACTACAATAATAACAAACACACATAGTTGGTCCATAAGGAGTCATGACCAATGTCCATACATGTTAATTCATGTCATCTCAAGGGGTTATTCCTCTTAATAAACGTTAATAATCTCTCTTTGATGTCGGCTTCCAGAAGGCTTCTCCAGACCCTGCACTTTGAACTTTTATTTTGATCTTTCTCCACGAACTTTGGCTTTATGTCTGTGATCCTTTTATAACGGTTTAAAACACTTGTAAAGATGACTTCCTGTGGTTTTCCAGGGAGCGAGAGAGGAGGGGCCTGCGGACTACGACAGGGCGGATTCTGACGCTCAGGTACGGGCCGCTGTGTGTGTGTGTGAGTGTGTGTGTGTGTGTGTGTGTGTGTGTGTGTGTGTGTGTGTGTGTGTGTGTGTGTGCGCTCTTTCTGTTTGTGTGTGTGTGTGTGTGTGTGTGTGTGTAAGCGTCAGTGTTGATACAGAACACAACGGCTGAACTTCCTGTCTCTCCTGTCAATGTGTGTTTACAAAAGCAAGTTTATTTATTAAACACAAGGCAACTCAAAGTGCTTAACAAAACAAGATGGAAACAATCAGACATGTTGGAGAGACCAGGGGCAGACATGTTGGAGAGACCAGGGGCAGACATGTTGGAGAGACCAGGGGCAGACATGTTGGAGGACCGCTAGAAAAATCATGTTTCACATGTGTTTTCAATGGAGACGTGTTGCTGCGCGCACAAAATTAGAAATCCATCCTAAATTAGGCGTAGCCTCGCGTCATACGTCCGTCATACGCACGTATAACACTAGTGTAAATATCACCATTGGTTAACATGTAAAAATGTTACGCGCTTCTGCTGTGCGTATAACTCGTACGTGCTGTAACGCCTCCTGTGGACATTATCAGTGAGTCCTGATCACATGTTTTGTCTTCTGTGGAGCAGGAGCTGGGAGAGGCCTGCAACGCAGAGTCTGACGAAATGGAGATTAAGTTTATGAGCATCCTGTGCACTAGGAGCTTCCCCCACCTGCGCAGAGGTACCCCAGGACCAGAGACCAGGGAGACCAGGGAGACCAGGGGGAGACCTGATGGAGACCAAAGGGAGACTAGAGTGGCCAGAGAGACCAGGGAGACCAGAGAACCCAGCAGGACAAGCGAGAGACCATGAGACCATAGAGACCCTGGAGACCAATGGGCAGAAAGACCAGGGAGACCAGAAAGCCCCGAAGGACAAGAGAGGGATCAGAGAGAGACCAGAGGGATCAGAGAGACCAGAGGCATCAGAGAGAGGCCAGAGGGATCAGAGAGACCAGAGGCATCAGAGAGAGGCCAGAGGGATCAGAGAGAGACCAGAGGCATCAGAGAGACCAGAGGCATCAGAGGGAGGCCAGAGGGACCAGCGCGACCAGGATGATCGTGGCGTTAGAGAGAGTCCAGAGAACAGGGAGTGACGAGAAAGACGAGAAAGAGACCAGAGAAACTGGTTGTCAGGAAGGGTCCAAAGCGAGAAAAGGGAAACCAAAGAGACCAGAGACCACTCTCCTCCGTGTGTGATTCCAACGCCTCTGTTTCTCAGTCTTCCAGGAGTTTGTGAGGTACACCAACAAGGACATCGAGCAGATCATAAAGAAGGAGATGTCTGGAGATGTCAAGAACGCTTTTTACGCCATCGGTAAGACTCTACTCTGCTTTACTCTGTGTAGTCCTGTGTAGGAGGCAGACATGTTGGAGAGACCGGAGGCAGACATCTTGGAGTGACCGGAGGCAGACATCTTGGAGTGACCGGAGGCAGACATCTTGGAGTGACCGGAGGCAGACATCTTGGAGAGACCAGAGGCAGACCTGTGTAGTCCTCTGTCGTCCTCTTCAGTACTCCTCAGTCCTCCTCAGTCCTCTTCAGTCCTCTTCAGTCCTCTTCAGTCCTCTTCAGTCTTCTTCAGTCCTGCCGTTGAGTTCTGGTGTAATCCCTGTTCTGTGTTTTAGTCCGCAGTGTGAAGAACCAGCCGTCTTACTTTGCCGACCGGCTGTACAAAGCCATGAAGGTACAAACTTTCTTTTCCATTTCAACTTCCTCTATCATCCCTCCATCCGAAATGGGAAAACAATACTTTCTTCCCAGTCCGTATTGATCCTTTGCTCTGTCTTCTGTTGACGTCAACCTTGTAAGGAAAATGCCTCCTAGTTGTTCATAAAGTTTTCAGAGTTTGTCCAATTCTGCCCTCCTCTGGTAGGATTGTATCACAAAACCAATTTCTTACTTACTAATGTGTTTTGCCTTACTCTATTCTGTTCTATTCTATTCTCTATTCTTTACCTCTCTTCTTACATGGCAATAAAAATGATTCTGATTTACAATTTCAATTACATTTTGCATGTACAATCAAACAGTTCAAAAACAAGAAATGCACTGATAAAAACACACAGAGCCACTGGTCCAAAACAGTGTCTGTGTCTGTGTGTGTGTGTGTGTGTGTGCCTGTGTGTGTGTGTGTGTGTGTGTGTGTGTGTGTGTGTGTGTGTGTGTGTGTGTGTGTGTGTGTGTGTGTGTGTGTGTGGTGGTTCTGGTGCAGGGCTTGGGCACCGATGACCGCGCCCTGATCCGCATCATGGTGTCGCGCTGTGAGGTCGATCTGTTCAACATCCGCAAAGAGTTCAAAGAGACGCACGACACCAGTCTGCACGACTTCATCCAGGTAGAAACCAGCCTCGTAAGTCTGCGTCTACACTAACAATCTACGTCTGTGTCCACATTAATAATGTGTGTGTGTGTGTGTGTATGTGTATGAGTCTGCGTCTACACTAACAATCTACGTCTGCTTCTGCACTAACAATCTACGTCTGTGTCTGCCCTAACAATCTACGTCTGTGTCTGCACTAACAATCTATGTCTGTGTCTGCACTAACAATCTACGTCTGTGTCTGCCCTAACAATCTACGTCTGTGTCTGCCCTAACAATCTACGTCTGTGTCTGCACTAACAATCTACGTCTGTGTCTACACTAACAATCTACGTCTGTGTCTGCCCTAACAATCTACGTCTGTGTCTGCCCTAACAATCTACGTCTGCTTCTGCACTAACAATCTACGTCTGCTTCTGCACTAACAATCTACGTCTGTGTCTGCCCTAACAATCTACGTCTGTGTCTGCACTAACAATCTACGTCTGTGTCTGCACTAACAATCTACGTCTGCTTCTGCACTAACAATCTACGTCTGTGTCTGCCCTAACAATCTACGTCTGTGTCTGCACTAACAATCTACGTCTGTGTCTACACTAACAATCTACGTCTGTGTCTGCCCTAACAATCTACGTCTGCGTCTACACTAACAATCTACATCTGCGTCTGCACTAACAATCTACGTCTGCGTCTACACTAACAATCTGCGTCTGCACTAACAATCTACGTCTGTGTCTGCACTAACAATCTACGTCTGCGTCTACACTAACAATCTACGTCTGCGTCTACACTAACAATCTACGTCTGCGTCTACACTAACAATCTACGTCTGTGTCTGCCCTAACAATCTACGTCTGCATCTGCACTAACAATCTACGTCTGCGTCTACACTAACAATCTACGTCTGCGGCTGCACTAACAATCTACGTCTGCATCTACACTAACAATCTACGTCTGCGTCTACACTAACAATCTACGTCTGTGTTTGCACTAACAATCTACGTCTGTGTCTGCCCTAACAATCTACGTCTGCGTCTACACTAACAATCTACGTCTGCGTCTACATTAACAATCTACGTCTGCGTCTACACTAACAATCTACGTCTGCGTCTGCACTAACAATCTATGTCTACACTAACAATCTACGTCTGTGTCTACACTAACAATCTACGTCTACACTAACAATCAACGTCTGTGTCTACACTAACAATCTACGTCTGTGTCTACACTAACAATCTACGTCTACACTAACAATCTACGTCTACACTAACAATCAACGTCTGTGTCTACACTAACAATCTACGTCTGTGTCTACACTAACAATCTATGTCTACACTAACAATCTACGTCTGTGTCTACACTAACAATCTACGTCTACACTAACAATCAACGTCTGTGTCTACACTAACAATCTACGTCTGTGTCTACACTAACAATCTACGTCTACACTAACAATCTACGTCTGCATCTACACTAACAATCCACGTCTGTGTCTACACTAACAATCTATGTCTGTGTCTACACTACTGCGTCTACACTAACAGTCTACGTCTGCGTCTGCACTAACAATCTATGTCTACACTAACAATCTACGTCTGTGTCTACACTAACAATCTACGTCTACACTAACAATCTACGTCTACACTAACAATCTACGTCTGTGTCTACACTAACAATCTACGTCTACACTAACAATCAACGTCTGTGTCTACACTAACAATCTACGTCTGTGTCTACACTAACAATCTACGTCTACACTAACAATCTACGTCTGCATCTACACTAACAATCCACGTCTGTGTCTACACTAACAATCTATGTCTGTGTCTACACTACTGCGTCTACACTAACAGTCTACGTCTGCGTCTGCACTAACAATCTATGTCTACACTAACAATCAACGTCTGTGCCTACACTAACAATCTACGTCTGTGTCTACACTAACAATCTACGTCTACACTAACAATCTACGTCTACACTAACAATCAACGTCTGTGTCTACACTAACAATCTACGTCTGTGTCTACACTAACAATCTATGTCTACACTAACAATCTACGTCTGTGTCTACACTAACAATCTACGTCTACACTAACAATCAACGTCTGTGTCTACACTAACAATCTACGTCTGTGTCTACACTAACAATCTATGTCTACACTAACAATCTACGTCTGTGTCTACACTAACAATCTACGTCTACACTAACAATCAACGTCTGTGTCTACACTAACAATCTACGTCTGTGTCTACACTAACAATCTACGTCTGCACTAACAATCTACGTCTGCGTCTACACTAACAATCCACGTCTGTGTCTACACTAACAATCTATGTCTACACTAACAATCTACGTCTGTGTCTACACTAACAATCTACGTCTACACTAACAATCTACGTCTGTGTCTACACTAACAATCTACGTCTACACTAACAATCTACGTCTGTGTCTACACTAACAATCTACGTCTACACTAACAATCTACGTCTGCGTCTGCACTAACAATCTACGTCTACGTCCAAAACTAACTATGAGTCTCTCTGTGTGTGTGTGTGTGTGTCGGTATGAGTGTTAGTTGTGTCTGCATGTGTGTGTGGTGTGTTTGTGTGTATGTGTATGTTGCATCTTCGTGTGTGTGTGTTGCGTCTTCATGTGTGTGTGTGTGTGTGTGTGTGTGTATTGTGTCTGCAATTGTGTGTGTGTATGAGTGTTAGTTGTGTCTGCTTTTGCGTGTATGTTGTGTCTGCATGTGTGTGTGTTTGAGTGTGTGTTGCGTCTTCGTGTGTGTGTGTGCGTGCGCGCAAGTGTGTGTATATTATGTCTGCATTTGTGTGTGTATGTTGTGTCTGCGTGTGTGTGTGTATTATGTCTGCATGTGTGTCTGTGTGAGTGTTAGTTGTGTATGCATATGTGTGTGTGTTTGTGTGTGTATGTCGTGTCTGCATGTGCGTGTGTGTGTGTGTGTGTGTGCGTCTATTGTTTGTCTTCCCGTACTCAGCTGTTCAGGAATTTCCCCGTGAACTTCCTACTTCCTGCTTGTATCTGTCGCCTGATTGGTCGATGACAGAAAAACAGGAAGAAAACAACAACCGTAAAAAAAACCCACTTCAGATTTATCTGTTCTCAAATCACAGATTTAAACTCAGCTAAAACCAGTTTCACATACGACACATTTACTCCAGGTCCAGGTCCAGTTCTGGGTCCAGGTCCTAGTCCAGGTCCTGGTCCTGGTCCCAGTCCTCTCCAGGTGCAAAGGTTCAATTCAATTCAGTTAAATGTGTTCTTGTACAGCCCTAAATCACAACAGTAGTTCTCAGAGGACTTTACAAAACCATCAAACAGTTCAAAACACAAGAAATGCAATAATACAAAACACACAGATCCATTGGTCCAAAAGGAGCAGAGACTAATGTCCATAAATGTGGACAGTCCTGGATCATCACCACTGTCTTCAGATTCTCCTGCATCGGCACAGAACAACTCCTAAAAACCCAGTGCAGAGGTCCAGGTCCTAGGTTCCCAGCAGTGTGGGCGGGTCCCGGCTCTAAAGGGACCATGAGCTCGTGCGCTGACATGCCGCAGTCTGACTCTTTGCCGGTGGTGGTGTACAGGAAACAGAATTATCCAATGAATTCTAATGACGCCATTTTTCCTCTCAAAAACGGCTTTTTGCAGTCTGGTCCAAAAGTGGCTCTTGGTCCAAAGCTACGTTCCAGATGCTGTCGCTGCTGAGGAGAGGATTTGTTTTGGACCAGTCTAGTTTACCCGCTGTGGACTTTTGAATGCACTGGTTAAATGAGTGGGGCTGGTTCCCGGCGAACGCATGCGGAAATGCGGTTTTCCACATGTTCCTGCGGGAGGGGCTGCTCGCGGCCATTTTGTAAAGGTCGGCAGGAGGGAATGAGTGATGATACATAAGTTTCAACGGCGGAGATAAGCGTCACTACTTCTGTTAATACTTACAGTCTATGGTTCCCACCGCCAGGAAACTTTTAGAGGACTGTGTCTCTCAGACCTGGGAATGTCTCAGGATTCACTTGGATGAAGAGGAAGTGTGTAACTTTGGCAAATACATTTCAAAGTTCACCTGCCTATTAGATTGTATGAGGATAGAATTTGACATCACAAAATGGCTGCCGGACCTGAATTATTGAAGCAGAAAAAGTGAATATTCTGTTTTACTAAACAATACCTTCATGTGTTTTATCTCCAGAGCGACACGTCTGGAGACTACCGTAAAACTCTGCTGATTCTGTGCGGAGGAGAAGACTGAGCCTTAGCTGCCTTTTCTCTCTGGTCTCTCTCTCTGGTCTCTCTCTCTCTGGTCTCTCTCTGGTCTCTCTCTCTCTCTGGTCTCTCTCTCTGGTCTCTCTCTCTCTGGTCTCTCTCTGGTCTCTCTCTGGTCTCTCTCTCTGATCTCTCTCTCTGGTCTCTCTCTGGTCTCTCTGGTCTCTCTCTGGTCTCTCTTTGAAATCTCTATCTGGTCTCTCTCTCTGATCTCTCTCTCTGGTCTCTCTCTGGTCTCTCTCTGGTCTCTCTCTCTCTGGTCTCTCTCTGGTCTCTCTCTGGTCTCTCTCTCTGATCTCTCTGGTCTCTCTCTGGTCTCTCTTTGAAATCTCTATCTGGTCTCTCTCTGGTTTCTCTCTCTGGTCTCTCTCTGGTCTCTCTCTGGTCGCTCTCTGGTCTCTCTCTGATCTCTCTCTGGTCTCTCTCTGGTCTCTCTCTCTGGTCTCTCTCTGGTCTCTCTTTGAAATCTCTATCTGGTCTCTCTCTGGTTTCTCTCTCTGGTCTCTCTCTGGTCTCTCTGGTCTCTCTCTCTGCTCTCTCTCTGGTCTCTCTCTGGTCTCTCTCAGGTCTCTCTGGTCTCTGTCTGGTCTCTCTCTCTGCTCTCTCTCTGGTCTCTCTCTGGTCTCTCTCTGATCTCTCTCTGGTCTCTCTCACTCTGTCTCTGGTCTCTCTCTCTGATCTGTCTCTGGTCTCTCTCACTCTCTCTCTGCTCTCTCTCTGGTCTCTCTCTGATCTCTCTCTGGTCTCTCTCACTCTCTCTCTGGTCTCTCTCTCACTCTCTCTCTGGTCTCTCTCTCTGGTCTCTCTCTCTGGTCTCTCTCTCTGGTCTCTCTCTCTGGTCTCTCTGGTCTCTCTCTCTGGTCTCTCTCTCTGGTCTCTCTCACTCTCTCTCTGGTCTCTCTCTCACTCTCTCTCTGGTCTCTCTCTGGTCTCTCTCTCACTCTCTCTCTGGTCTCTCTCTGGTCTCTCTCTGGTCTCTCTCTGGTCTCTCTCTGATCTCTCTCTGGTCTCTCTCTGGTCTCTCTCTGGTCTCTCTCTGGTCTCTCTCTGGTCTCTCTCTCTGATCTCTCTCTGGTCTCTCTCTGGTCTCTCTCTGGTCTCTCTCTGGTCTCTCTCTCTGGTCTCTCTCTGGTCTCTCTCACTCTCTCTGGTCTCTCTCTGGTCTCTCTCTGGTCTCTCTCTCTGGTATCTCTCTGGTCCCTTTGGTCTCTCTCTGGTCTCTCTGATTCTGCGCTGAGGAGAAGACTGAGCCAAAGTAAAAGCCAAAGGAAGTGACCTTTCAAAATAAGAGCTTCTTCACGTCCCTGTTGTTTTTCTACTACCTGCCTTTTCTATACGTGTGCATGTGAGCGAAACCCTCTGAACCTAGCGCTTCAAATATGGAAGATTAAAGAACCATGAAACAGTCTGTGTGTGGTTCTTTGTGTGTCGTTGTGTGGTGTCTGTGTGGTGTATCTAATCCCATTTTCTCACTCGCATTTGTTGCAGATTATTTTCTGACATACAATATTACACGAGTCACCTTTTGCATTCTCTCTGGTCTCTCTCTAGCTTGGGTCACCAGCCTCAATGTATTTCTGCAAATAGCTATTTAATCAATTTCTACCATTATATGTTAATTAAATCGACCCATCCATCGATTTTCTTCCCCTTAATCCATGGGGGAGCTGCACCCGGTACACAGAGCACCAGCCCCTCACTGATTCTCCTGCAGGTGCTGCTAATTCCACAGGAGCTGAGATCTTTCAGCGGGGGCTTCAGGCAAAGTGGGGTTAAGTGTCTTGCCCAAGGACACAACGACAGCAGACCTTAGTGGGAGTCGTGAAGTACTGTAGGTCTTATGGTGGGCTCGAACCTCCGATCTTCAGGCTCAAAGGCCAATGCTCTACCAACTGAGCCACTGTCGCCCCAAATATTAAAGTATATTGATATCAACAATTTAAGAAGTCTTTTAACTTGAATATTCAACCAATAAGAAGTATTTGGGGGCGGGACTTTGCTCGTGATTTGCTGCAGTCAGGAGAGGCTGAAACCTACACATCCGAATCCCTTTTATCGCTGGATGGTTGTATGTCAGGAGGAGGTGTCACACTTTTAGTCGTAAAACCTGACGTACAACAACAGAGTTTGATGTGAAGCAAACGGACGGTGGTAATACGTCCATAAATAGCACTTTGATGATGTTTAAAGCAGAGGAATGTCATGTACTAAGGGATTTTTAATTAAACCAGCAATGTGAAAAAAAAAGAATGAATTAAAGTAGCAGTATGTCATATTTTCATGTCAAGTCATCATTAAATGGCCCCAATGTTTCCTAGCAGTAGATCATCCGAGATATTTGAGTATCAAAATTAGTTTTACGACTCGTAAAAGTTGTTTTCATTTTGATGTCCTACCCTCCGCCGTATGGTCAGCACTAGATCATATAGAAACGGGACGGAAGCGGAAGTAAATAAAACAAACGACCTATTTTTGCCTAAACTTGACCAGCCATTCCCATAAAATAACTCCAACCCACCTTAACCCTAACCTTAACCATGTTACTCAGACCCACCTTAACCCTAACCTTAACCATCTTACTCAGACCACCTTAACCCTAACCTTAACCATGTTACTCAGACCCACCTTAACCCTAACCTTAACCATCTTACTCAGACCCACCTTAACCCTAACCTTAACCATCTTACTCAGACCACCTTAACCCTAACTCAACCATCTTACTCAGACACTTAAAACTTAACCAGTCACCACTTAACGACTTATTAGTCTAAAACTAATTTGAAAGTAGGATTGTTACTTCCGGTTTTGTCCCGATTCCGTTTATGATCTAGTGCCGACCTCCGCCGTTTCGCCAATCAGGAAGTTTCATGGAAGTCCGTGACCGGGTTGCCAGAACTCGTCACGGCTAATCTTCACTGGTAAAATAACATGTGGCGCAGAACTAAAAAAGGTCTTGTTATGACTCTCAAATCATTAATGACAAAACAAGGACTGAAACGAGGATTTATATCGAGACGCCTTCGAACAATTGAGACAGATGATAAAAGTTTTCGTGCGATACAAAACTTGCTGCTTTGAGTGCGTTCTTCATTGACATTTCTATGACCTGCATCCAAAGCATTTGTATCGTGTGCCATGTTGGTCCAGTGGATATGCCTTTGAGCTCACATTCCCACAACCCGGGTTCGGATTCGGGCACGCTCTGTTAGTATTCATTTATATTATATCACATTCCATGACAGCTCAAAAAACGGTAAAAGATGAAAATCAGAATATCTATTGCAGATAAAAGCTTATTTGTAAAAAGAATCATTTGAGACCACATGTACCCAATTAAAACAATGTTAGTCTCTTTTTGATGTGGGACTGATGTTGATACGCTGAAGAAATACGTTCCAACATCCATTCTTCCCACTCCTATTTTGGACATCAAATGCTTATTTATTTTGGATAATCTATAATGACATTGCTTTTAATTGTCCTTTTTAATTGTGTATCTCAAATGTCAAAAATAAAAATAAAACATTCATTCAAAACATTAATTCAACATTAGCACGGCTCATGGCAACAGACAGACAAACAACTGATAAAATAATTCCCTGTGTTTGCTGCTGGATTTGGTGTGTATCTGGCAACCTGAGTCAGGCAGAGTGGGAGAGGACTACACTGACTGTGACTGCAGTACCACTTTTGGCCAGATTTTTACATACTGCTCATCGTGGCGGCACGGTGGCAGAGTGGATAGCACTCTCGCCTCTCAGCAACAAGGTCCTGGGTTTGAATCCCGGCCGGACCAGGGCCTTTCTGAGTGGAGTTTGCATGTTCTCCCCGTGTCTGCGTAGGTTTCCTCCGGGTACTCCAGTTTCCCCTACCACTAAAAATATGTACAATAGGTCTGGCATGTGCCTCCTGTTCGGCGACCCCGCTCCCATCTCTGTGTGGAGTGAGAGACAAGTGCCCAAAAATAACAATTGTAAACCGCTTTGTGACTCTGGTCTGTGAAAGGCGGTATATAAATAAAGATTACTTACTCCTTTAAAGGCGCTATACCCGTTTCTGCAATGTTTGAATGTTTAGCACCGCCCCTCAACTCGCTCACAGGCTTCTCATTTCCCCTACGCTCTCATAACACAGAGCCACCTAGTTTTATTTGCGATCTGATACATATGCTAACATTAGCATTAGCGCAACTTCTTGTAAGCAGTGCAACAATCACTGATGAAATGGCACTAAAGCAACGCACTGCTAACACAATATATAAGTACAAGAATACCGCTAGTTTCGCGTCCGAATGTATTAATTTAAAACCTTAGAATATATTCTAATATTTAATTATAATTTGTTATAGAGCTCCTCAAAGCAGCAGCAGCAATTCTTCCGATCATTTTTTCTTGATAACAGAACTCTCAAACCAATAATGGCCGAAGCCCCAATGCAATCTCTGTTTGTAATTCAGGTGTGTAAAATACTGCCATTACTCTGCAAGTACAAGCTATCAGCACCTGTCACTACACACTTGTCTGTGTAGAGAAGCCAACGGAGCTAGCGGAGCTAGCCACGCTCAATAAACAACTACATATCTATCAATCAACACCATTAAACGTCAATCGGACAATACAGTACACATATACATCCTTAACACACATGCACGGATGATTTCAGAATTTGCTGTTAACGTTTTCATAACAAAAATACTGTTTCAATGTGACAAAAAGCGATTGCGAAAAACCCGGAAGTTACCATGAAACAACTAGCTAGCTTAGCTGTTACCTGCCTAGCACGTCCCGGTGAAACCTTCGGGAGCTAACTATTTTATTTGCAGTCATTAAATACATTTCGAATTACAAGGGTTGTCTAATATTTGTTCACATTTTTTTATTCAATTATTTTTTTCATCATTTTTTAATTTTAGAATTATATTCGAATTTTGAAGTCGAAGTCCTGGTGTTAAGCAGCGCTGTAGAGGCAGAGGACGCAGGCTGTAGAGGCAGAGGACGCAGGCTGTAGAGACTAGAGGACACAGGCTGTAGAGACTAGAGGACACAGGCTGTAGAGGCTAGAGGACACAGGCTGTAGAGACTAGAGGACACAGGCTGTAGAGACTAGAGGACTCAGGCTGTAGAGACTAGAGGACGCAGGCTGTTCACTGCTCGTTCTGTGAGCGGAGGAGAACGAGCGGCCCGCTCAGACTCTACTCAGCACTTTTCACTGCTTGTAATTCTTACACAGCTGAATCAATTACCTCAAGTTTTCAATTAAATGATGTATTATGATACAACTTGTATGTAGTAAAAAGCATTTTTATGAACTACTTAGAAAAAAAATCGGGTATAGCTTCTGTGGAGAGTGATAAATCTGTGTTTTCGTAAATATCCAGGTGTGAAGTGTTTGTCGATGAACCCGGGATTCAAACCTTCAACCTCCTCTTCCTGCTCCTGCTGAGTCTGCAGCTGTTGTTTTGGACTTTAACAGGAAATCCCCCGAGTGGAGCCAAACAGGCAACACACACACACACACACTTACATACACACACACACCTACATACTGTATACACACACACATATACATACACATATACTTACATACACACACACACACACACACTTACATACACACACACACATACATACATACACACACACACACACACACACACACACACATACCTACATATACACACATACTTACATACACACACACAGACACACACACATTTGGAAGGAGAAGCAGGTGTTTATTTTGTTCAGCCTTAAATCACAACAGTTGTTTATCTCAGGACTTTACACAACTGTTGATAAAATAAACTTTATTGATCTCACATTTGGCACAGATAGAATGACTGGATGAATGGATATAATTCATGGATGTATTATATTAACTGGATAGGGTATTACTAGCTTGTAGCTGAATAACTCACGTGCTCAGGGGATTCTCGCGGTACTGCAGACTGAACCAGACTGAACCAGACTAAATTCACGTGGGCTACCCAGAAATTTTCCCCATAGACCTCAATGCATATTAAAACAGCTCGACCTCAGCTGACAGAGAACGTGACAGAGAACCTGACAGAGAACCTGACAGAGAACCTGACAGAGAACCTACTGCTTTCATAAAGGTCGGATTTTGTGGGGATTTTAGTGTCCCTTGTCATCCTGAACTTTTTTTCTTCTTAAATCCTTCGGTTTTGTTTAAATCCACACTTTAGTGCCACAAACTCTGCTCCTCTGGCTCTCGCTCTAACTCCCGCTCTGATGAACTGCTCTGATTGGTCAGAGCGCGGCCGAGCCCCTCTGTGCACGTGCGTGAGACCCGGTGTGAGACCCACACACGCGTGTTTGACGCAATGCATTATGGGAGATCATCCACTGCGCAGAACCGGGAGGACCAGACGATGCCCAAATACAGGCGAGTTTCCCATAGATCTTTGAGAGTTTCAGGCAACTTCCGCTAATCTTTCAGCCCCCATGCCGTCACAAAGCGCCACTGAGCACAACCATTCATTTGAATAGGGCGCCATCTTGGATCGCCGGGGCTTGATATAATTATGTACAATAAAAAGTAACAACAGCTGTGCAGGTTTTTTCAGTCCAAGTGCAGGTCATTAGTAATTCTCCAACACAGATCAGAGAATCAAACCCCTGCAGCAACCAGGAAGTAACAAGTGAACCAGACGTGCGACCAGGCCGTGTGCTTTGGCGTGTGCTTTGGTGTGTTCTTTGGCGTGTTCTTTGGCGTGTGCTTTGGCGTGTGCTTTGGTCTGTGCTTTGGCGTGTGCTTTGGCGTGTGCTTTGGCATGTTCGTTGGCGTGTGCTTTGGCCTGTGCTTTGGCGTGTTCTATGGCCTGTGCTTTGGCGTGTGCTTTGGCGTGTGCTTTGACCTGTGCTTTGGCGTGTGCTTTGGCCTGTGCTTTGGCGTGTGCTTTGGCGTGTGCTTTGGCCTGTGCTTTGGCGTGTGCTTTGGCATGTGCTTTGGCGTGTGCTTTGGCGTGTTCTTTGGTCTGTGCTTTGACGTGTGCTTTGGCGTGTTCTTTGGTCTGTGCTTTGACGTGTGCTTTGGCGTTTTCTTTGGCCTGTGCTTTGGCCTGTGCTTTGGCGTGTGCTTTGGCGTGTGCTTTAGCGTGTGCTTTGGTGTGTTCTTTGGTCTGTGCTTTGACGTGTGCTTTGGCGTGTGCTTTGGCATGTTCTTTGGCCTATGCTTTGGCCTGTGCTTTGGCCTGTGCTTTGGCGTGTGCTTTGGCGTGTGCTTTGGCGTGTTCTTTGGCGTGTTCTTTGGTCTGTGCTTTGACGTGTGCTTTGGCGTGTTCTTTGGCATGTTCTTTGGCCTGTGCTTTGGCGTGTGCTTTGGCGTGTTCTTTGGCCTGTGCTTTGGCCTGTGCTTTGGCCTGTGCTTTGGCATGTGCTTTGGCCTGTGCTTTGGCCTGTGCTTTGACGTGTGCTTTGGCGTGTTCTTTGGCCTGTGCTTTGGCCTGTGCTTTGGCCTGTGCTTTGGCCTGTGCTTTGGCCTGTGCTTTGGCCTGTGCTTTGACGTGTGCTTTGGCGTGTTCTTTGGCCTGTGCTTTGGCCTGTGCTTTGGCCTGTGCTTTGGCCTGTGCTTTGACGTGTGCTTTGGCGTGTTCTTTGGTCTGTGCTTTGACGTGTGCTTTGGCGTGTGCTTTGGCGTGTGCTTTGGCCTGTGCTTTGGTCTGTGCTTTGGCGTGTGCTTTGGCGTGTTCTTTGGTCTGTGCTTTGGCGTGTTCTTTGGCCTGTGCTTTGGTCTGTGCTATGGCGTGTGCTTTGGTCTGTGCTTTGACGTGTGCTTTGGCGTGTTCTTTGGCCTGTGCTTTGGCGTGTGCTTTGGTCTGTGCTTTGACGTGTGCTTTGGCGTGTTCTTTGGCCTGTGCTTTGGCGTGTGCTTTGGCGTGTGCTTTGGCGTGTGCTTTGGCCTGTGCTTTGGCATGTTCTTTGGCGTGTGCTTTGGCCTGTGCTTTGGCGTGTGCTTTGGCCTGTGCTTTGGCATGTTCTTTGGCGTGTGCTTTGGCCTGTGCTTTGACGTGTGCACAGATGAAGTGATGGCCAAGACAACAGCAATGTGCACTTTATTTCTCCCCATCGGTAACTATGTCCTCTGCATTTAAGTTAAAGCTGACGTACATAACGTTTTTGTCTAATTTTTTGTCTTTCTTTTGCCAAGGAGAACCAGAGTGGAGTTTGCATGTTCTCCCCGTGCTCTACCACTAAAAACTCTCCTCCGGCTCCTGTTGTCCTGACCAAGCCGAGCCTCAACATCTGCACATGGAGCAGTATGTACAAATGTGTCCAAAAGTGGTACTGCAGCCTCTCCCACTCTCCCTGACTCAGGTTGCCAGATATGCAGACGAATCCAGCTGGGACCATAACAGCTGAATAGACAAGAGTTTAGTCAACAACAAATCTATAACCAACACCTTTTTCACAAAGATAGAAATCCTGGTTTTATTCCTTGTTTTGTCGTTAATGATTTGAGAATCATAACGAGACCTTTTCTGGTTCTGTGTTTCTGGAGGTGGTTTCTGTGGTGGTGGCTGGTGCTGTGGAGGGCCAGTGGACCTACGTCATGGTGGCGTTCTGTGGAAACGCCGTGAGGAATGACCTCACTGTCTATATTGCATTTGGACATACAAAAGAGTATGAATTAAAAACAAAATAAGAATAAAAAATAAAATATATATATATATTAAAAGAGTAAAAATTGAAGAAAGTATCTTCTGCCTGAAAGTGGTGCTAGGACAGTCACGGTGGTGATAATCGGCTCTATCCAAGGTAAAGAAAATCTGTATAAGTGATTAAATGACAGATTAGGGCCCTTTAATAATGACAGATTAGGGCCCTTTAATGATGACAGATTAAGGCCCTTTAATGATGACAGATTAGGGCCCTTTAATAATGACAGATTAGGGCCCTTTAATGATGACAGATTAGGGCCCTTTAATGATGACAGATTAGGGCCCTTTAATAATGACAGATTAGGGCCCTTTAATGATGACCGATTAGGGCCCTTTAATGATGACAGATTAGGATCTTTTAATGATGACAGATTAAGGCCTTTAATGATGACAGATTAAGGCCTTTAATGATGACGGATTAGGGCCCTTTAATGATGACAGATTAGGGCCCTTTAATGATGACAGATTAGGGCCCTTTAATGATGACAGATTAGGGCCCTTTAATGATGACAGATTAGGGCCCTTTAATGATGACAGATTAGGACCCTTTAATGATGACAGATTAGGGACCTTTAATAATGACAGATTAGGGCCCTTTAATGATGACAGATTAGAGCCCTTTAATGATCACAGATTAGGGCCCTTTAATGATGACAGATTAGGGCCCTTTAATGATGACAGATTAGGGCCCTTTAATGATGACAGATTAGAGCCCTTTAATGATCACAGATTATGGCCCTTTAATGATGACAGATTTAGGCCCTTTAATGATGACAGATTAGGGCCCTTTAATAATGACAGATTAGGGCCCTTTAATGATGACAGATTTGGGCCCTTTAATGATGACAGATTAGGGCCCTTTAATAATGACAGATTAGGGCCCTTTAATGATGACAGATTAGAGCCCTTTAATGATCACAGATTAGGGCCCTTTAATGATGACAGATTAGGGCCCTTTAATGATGACAGATTAGGGCCCTTTAATGATGACAGATTAGGGCCTTTTAATGATGACAGATTAGAGCCCTTTAATGATCACAGATTAGGGCCCTTTAATGATCACAGATTAGGGCCCTTTAATGATGACAGATTAGGGCCCTTTAATGATGACAGATTAGGGCCCTTTAATGATGACAGATTAGGGCCCTTTAATAATGACAGATTAGGGCCCTTTAATGATGACAGATTAGAGCCCTTTAATGATCACAGATTAGGGCCCTTTAATGATGACAGATTAGGGCCCTTTAATGATGACAGATTAGGGCCCTTTAATAATGACAGATTAGGGCCCTTTATTGATGACTTGACATTTAAATCTTACATTTTGCTGTTTGGGGAAAAGGCTTGAGGTCCTCCAGCTTTAATGTAGAAGAGCTGAAAAGGCACAGATCATGCCTGATTCTGTACTCTGTATAGTGCCACCTTAAATGCCCCCGGGGCCACCCACACTGCTGCTACTGCTGCTACTGCTGCTACTGCTGCTGCTGCTGCTGCTACTGCTGCTGCTGTTACTGCTACTGCTGCTGCTGTTGTTGCTACTGCTACTACTGCTGCTACTGCTGCTGCTGCTGCTGTTGCTACTGTTGTTGGGAATCTCCCTCCAGCAGCAGAGAGAGGCGTCGGACTCGCAGCTTCCTCACAGTGCTGCAGACTGAGCGGGTGAGTGTGTGTTTGTGACAGATTGTGTTGCTTTGAGAGTTGTGTTGAATTCTACACAATTATATTTACAGAACTGACCGTTTTGAGTATTTGCATGTTAGAATGTTGTTTATATTTTGATTCTTTTTTTGCTATCTCAGAATTGGCAAAAGACACTAAAATATTGCTACTGTGTAAAAAGAGAAAAAGGCTGCATCTGTGTAGACTGGATAACACCTGTGGATATGTGGTGCTGGCTTTCTGCTTTTTTATTTATCTTTACTTGAATTGGGACAGAGCACATTAATCAACATGGGCTTTTCAACTTGTAAATGTGAGTGATGTGAGTTTTATCTCTATGTTCTCCCTATATTCACTCTATGCTCTCGTTATGTTGGCTCTCTGATCTCATTATGTTCTCTCTCTCTGGTCTCATTTTGTTCTCTCTCCCTGGTCTCTCTCTGGTCTCTCTCTGGTCTCTCTCTGGTCTCTCTCTGGTCTCGTTATGTTCTCTCTCTGTTTCCTCTGTGGTCTGTGTAGGACAGGTGTGGTTTACGACTGTTCAGAGCTGATCGAATGCTGCACTAATTGTTTTAATTCTGTCTGACGACATAAATGTGGAAAGATAGAAATACAACAAGAAAGGAAGAAGAAAAATCATGTTTCTAAATCAATGCAGAAATGTGAGGAATCCAACATTTACAAACATTTGGCCTTGGTTTCTGACGATTCATCTAGTCTCTGTGAGGACCACCCAGTCCTCTAGTCTCTGTGAGGACCACCCAGTCCTCTAGTCTCTGTGAGGACCACCCAGTCCTCTAGTCTCTGTGAGGACCACCCAGTCCTCTAGTCTCTGTGAGGACCACCCAGTCCTCTAGTCTCTGTGAAGACCACCCAGTCCTCTAGTCTCTGTGAGGACCACCCAGTCCTCTAGTCTCTGTGAGGACCACCCAGTCCTCTAGTCTCTGTGAGGACCACCCAGTCCTCTAGTCTCTGTGAGGACCACCCAGTCCTCTAGTCTCTGTGAGGACCACCCAATCCTCTAGTCTCTGTGAGGACCACCCAGTCCTCTAGTCTCTGTGAGGACCACCCAGTCCTCTAGTCTCTGTGAGGACCACCCAGTCCTCTTGTCTCTGTGAGGACCACCCAGTCCTCTAGTCTCTGTGAGGACCACCCAGTCCTCTAGTCTCTGTGAGGACCACCCAGTCCTCTAGTCTCTGTGTGAGGACCACCCAGTCCTCTAGTCTCTGTGAGGACCACCCAGTCCTCAAGTCTCTGTGAGGACCACCCAGCCCTCAAGTCTCTGTGAGGACCACCCAGTCCTCTAGTCTCTGTGAGGACCACCCAGTCCTCTAGTCTCTGTGAGGACCACCCAGTCCTCCATTCTCTGTGAGGACCACCCAGTCCTCAAGTCTCTGTGAGGACCACTCAGTCCTCTAGTCTCTGTGAGGACCACCCAGTCCTCTAGTCTCTGTGAGGACCACCCAGTCCTCTAGTCTCTGTGAGGACCACCCAGTCCTCTAGTCTCTGTGAGGACCACCCAGTCCTCTAGTCTCTGTGAGGACCACCCAGTCCTCTAGTCTCTGTGAGGACCACCCAGTCCTCTAGTCTCTGTGAGGACCACCCAGTCCTCTAGTCTCTGTGAGGACCACCCAGTCCTCTAGTCTCCACAGCATTGGCCTCTCCAGACCAGCACTTCTCTGGTTCAACTCCTACCTGCACTCTCGTCGCCAGTGTGTTTCCTTTGGGGGCAGCCAGTCCAACTTCACAGTCATTGAAAAAGGCATTCCACAAGGCTCCTCACTTGGTCCTCTTCTCTTCTCTATCTTTATTAATGATCTCCCGACTATCTGTTCCAACTGCACTATTGAACTTTATGCCGATGACACTGTTATTTACTGTTCCAATTCTAATATCCCTGACATCTGCAACTCTCTACAACACAACTTTGACATTGTTCAACACTGGCTCCTTTCTAACAAACTTCTGCTCAACAAAACCAAATCCTACTCCATGCTTTTCAAGAAGACCAATAAACCTCTCCCTGATTTAAATCTCCACTTTCTAGATCTGTCCCCAGTCAAATGTGTGGACAACCTTAAGTATCTTGGTCTTTGGCTAGACTCAAATCTTTCTTTCAATACCCATATTCACAAAACTGTACACAAAATTAACTATTCACTGAAAACACTTTATCAATCCATTGACTGTTTTAATTTATCTGCACGGAAAAGGATTATTTCACAACTACTACTTCCCATATTAGACTATGCAGACATAGTTTACCAAAATACCACCTCCACTTCTCTCCATCCTCTGAGCACTGCCTACAACAGCCTGTGCAGGTTCATTCTGCGCTGCCCCTACAGGACCCATCACTGTGACATGTACCAGCAGCTGTCCTACAGACAGACCTACAGACAGACCTACAGGACCCATCACTGTGACATGTACCAGCAGCTGTCCTGGCTCTCTCTGTCCCAAAGACGTCACTCTCACTGGTTGTTTTTCATTTATAAATGTTATTTTTTGGATTACCCTCTTTATTTAAAGCAATATTTAACCCCTTTTAATTCCTCTTATAATCTTCGTCACACAAACCAGCTTTTCTTTCACACTCCTCGTGTGAAGAAAGAACTTGGCAAATATGCTTTCCAATATAAAGCCCCAAACAACTGGAATCACCTTCCGGCCTCTATTCGCTCTTTAACTTCTTTTTCTCTTTTTAAAGTTGCTGTACAAAGGCATCTGTGTAATGTTTGTAACTGCTACTGAACTTTCTTTTAAATATTATATCCTTTGGTTTTCACTGTCCTAGTTTGAGGAGTAGGGTGACCTCTGACCTCTGAGAGCTCTGTGTGTGTGTGTGTGTGTGTGTGTGTGAGCGAATGTTTCTGTCCTTGTATTGTTGTTGTTAGTTTTTTTGTCTGTTATTTTATTGAATTTATTTACTGTAATTTGTTATGTTTTTTATTTGTTACACTTTACTGTAACTGCATTTATTTGACAACCGCTGCTGCTACTTGTGTTGCTATTTTTGAGGACCCTCCTGAAAACGAGATGATGCATCTCAAGAGGCTATTCCTCGTAATAAAGATAAAGATATGTTAAAGTCTCTGTGAGGACCACCCAGTCCTCTTGTCTCTGTGAGGACCACCCAGTCCTCAAGTCTCTGTGAGGACCACCCAGTCCTCTAGTCTCTGTGAGGACCACCCAGTCCTCTAGTCTCTGTGAGGACCACCCAGTCCTCTAGTCTCTGTGAGGACCACCCAGTCCTCTAGTCTCTGTGAGGACCACCCAGTCCTCTAGTCTCTGTGAGGACCACCCAGTCCTCAAGTCTCTGTGAGGACCACCCAGTCCTCAAGTCTCTGTGAGGACCACCCAGTCCTCAAGTCTCTGTGAGGACCACCCAGTCCTCTAGTCTCTGTGAGGACCACCCAGTCCTCTAGTCTCTGTGAGGACCACCCAGTCCTCTAGTCTCTGTGAGGACCACCCAGTCCTCCATTCTCTGTGAGGACCACCCAGTCCTCAAGTCTCTGTGAGGACCACCCAGTCCTCTAGTCTCTGTGAGGACCACCCAGTCCTCTAGTCTCTGTGAGGACCACCCAGTCCTCTAGTCTCTGTGAGGACCACCCAGTCCTCTAGTCTCTGTGAGGACCACCCAGTCCTCCATTCTCTGTGAGGACCACCCAGTCCTCAAGTCTCTGTGAGGACCACCCAGTCCTCTAGTCTCTGTGAGGACCACCCAGTCCTCTAGTCTCTGTGAGGACCACCCAGTCCTCTAGTCTCTGTGAGGACCACCCAGTCCTCTAGTCTCTGTGAGGACCACCCAGTCCTCTAGTCTCTGTGAGGACCACCCAGTCCTCTAGTCTCTGTGAGGACCACACCGATTTTAGCTTAAATCTGAAACACCTCCTGTTTAGTCCTGACTCTGGTCCCAGCAGGAGGCCAGTCCCTGTGCTCCTCAGAGTCCCAGCAGGAGGCCAGTCCCTGTGCTCCTCAGAGTCCCAGCAGGAGGCCAGTCCCTGTGCTCCTCAGAGTCCCAGCGGGAGGCCAGTCCCTGTGCTCCTCAGAGTCCCAGCAGGAGGCCAGTCCCTGTGCTCCTCAGAGTCCCAGCGGGAGGCCAGTCCCTGTGCTCCTCAGAGTCCCAGCATGAGGCCAGTCCCTGTGCTCCTCAGAGTCCAAGTCATCTTTGATTATGGACAACACTGTAATGTCTCTCTCTCTCTGCTATTTTTACATCCCCCTTAGTGAAGTATTTAGAGAAGTATTTAGTGAAGTATTTAGTTAAGTATTTGACAGCTGAGAATTTCCCACACGGTTCAACACTTCCTCATACATGCTCCATTTGTGTGATGACAATTACATAGCTTCATAAAAACACAATTTTTCTCTTCTACATTTCATGTAAACAAGACACTCATGTGACCACAGGTCAGGTCTGTGGAGAGGCTGTAGACCCAGGACTGAGGCTGTAGACCCAGGACTGAGGCTGTAGATCCAGGACTGAGGCTGTAGATCCAGGACTGAGACTGTAGACCCAGGACTGAGACTGTAGATCCAGGACTGAGACTGTAGACCCAGGACTGAGGCTGTAGACCCAGGACTGAGGCTGTAGATCCAGGACTGAGGCTGTAGATCCAGGACTGAGGCTGTAGACCCAGGACTGAGGCTGTAGATCCAGGACTGAGGCTGTAGACCCAGGACTGAGGCTGTAGACCCAGGACTGAGGCTGTAGACCCAGGACTGAGGCTGTAGATCCAGGACTGAGGCTGTAGACCCAGGACTGAGGCTGTAGACCCAGGACTGAGACTGTAGACCCAGGACTGAGGCTGTAGATCCAGGACTGAGGCTGTAGACCCAGGACTGAGGCTGTAGACCCAGGACTGAGGCTGTAGACCCAGGACTGAGACTGTAGACCCAGGACTGAGACTGTAGACCCAGGACTGAGGCTGTAGATCCAGGACTGAGACTGTAGACCCAGGACTGAGGCTGTAGATCCAGGACTGAGACTGTAGACCCAGGACTGAGGCTGTAGACCCAGGACTGAGACTGTAGACCCAGGACTGAGGCTGTAGATCCAGGACTGAGGCTGTAGACCCAGGACTGAGGCTGTAGACCCAGGACTGAGGCTGTAGACCCAGGACTGAGACTGTAGACCCAGGACTGAGACTGTAGACCCAGGACTGAGGCTGTAGATCCAGGACTGAGACTGTAGACCCAGGACTGAGGCTGTAGATCCAGGACTGAGACTGTAGACCCAGGACTGAGGCTGGTCCAGCAGTCACTCACTTCACTTCTGAGAGAGTTGTGAGACCTCATGAGGACTGTTATATTTGCTCCTGAACCAGACCTGGTCCAGTTAAAGTGAACCAGACCTGGGTCAAATCCAGGACCTCTCCTGCATTATCCATGGGGCAATACAGTTCAAGAGATCCTTTATTGGTCCCACAGCAGGGAAATGTCAGTGTTGCATTACCAGTTAGAGCTGTAGGAATGAGGAGCACACAACACGAGATGAATGAACAATAACTAGAATAAATAAATACAATCGCTCCTTCTGTCATAAAGTGTCCCTTTGAGTCAGAAAAGAGAGAGAGGTACATGATTCAAAAAAAAACTACCCAAGCTCCTCCCCATTCCTTTCTGATTGGTCTTGAAGCCGCGCCTACTTTTCCGTGCACGTGCCAGGTCAATGGTCCAATTTAAATATTTGAATATTTAATCATAATTGATTACAGGCTCGTCACAGCAGCAGCAGAACGCTCCGCTGAATGAATGTCATCTCCAAACGTTCTACAGATCAGTATTCAAACCAATAATGACCGCTGCCCTTTGGCAACGCACTCTCTGTGCTTGTAATTCAGGTGTTTAAAACTGATCCGGACAGTAGTTAGCACACCTCGTCACAACGTGCTTTCAGCGCCTGCCACTTATTACTTAGTCTGTGTTAGTCTGTGTGAGTCTGTGTTAGTCTGTGTGAGTCTGTGTGAGTCTGTGTTAGTCTGTGTGAGTCTGTGTGAGTCTGTGTTAGTCTGTGTGAGTCTGTGTGAGTCTGTGTGAGTCTGTGTTAGTCTGTGTGAGTCTGTGTGAGTCTGTGTGAGTCTGTGTGAGTCTGTGTGAGTCTGTGTGAGTCTGTGTAAAGCCTGGTTCACACGGCAGGATATTTAGGCCGATTTAGGCCGATTTACCCCTTACGACAATCTTAAGGAACGCTCCGATTTCCGTAACAAAATCTTACAGATTATCCTGCCGTGTGTGGTGTGTTAAGACTGCACTCGTCGCTCGGAAGGACATCGGGACTGCTCCCGATCTCAAATCGGGGATATCCAACATGTTGGATTGTTTTGGCCCGATTTCTCGTCGTGTGTGGTGTCCTCCGAG